GTTAAGGAAAATCAAATACCAGAGTGAAGCAGAAGAAATTCACCAAAAAAAAAAAAAAAAAGAAATCGTAAATTGGAACTGTAAAGAGATGATTCAATAGAAACGGAACCTGGAGAAGAAATTCATTTATCCAAAATACAAGAACAGACAGAAGAGCGATTAAAATCGAAAAAATGGAAGTGAGAAGGAAAGAAAGGAAAGAAGAGGAATAAATAGATGAGAGAGAGAGAGAGAGAGAAGTACGCGGTAGTGGCGAGATCTAACAACGGGGAAGTGTTCCAGAATCCGGCGAAACTCTTGCTCGTCCATGTTTTTTTCTTTTTTTTTATTAATTTTCCTTTCGCATACTTTTTTTGTTTGTTACCATTGGATTTTGTTCTACCATTCTATTAGTCTTCCTTGGCCGGTCGCCGTATACAATTATTTTCTGACGGAATTGCCATTCGGGTTATTGATCCTATACCTCTCTAAGGCTCTAACAAAAGAAAGGGTAAATTGGTTACTACGTTTTACTTAATAACCTGATCTACAAAGAGGGATTTAAATAATTTTTAATGAGTTTTTTTGTTTTACCACCCGGATATTTAAAAATTCACTAAATCACCAAATAATAGGAATTCCAGCTGAGTAAGACTCAACGAGAAGCAAAATTTTTCCTCACGAGTTTTAATAGAACTGTATTTTAGAATTTCAAACTAAAATATCTGATTAAATTAAAAAGAGTCTTTATCAATTCAACCACCCTCTCATCAGTATTTAAATACTACCGAAGATAAATTCATTTTTAATGATTCTTCTACAGTATAAAAATACTACTGAAGATAAATTGTTTCACAGTTAAAAATTATTATTTTCATTAAATTCAAGGTTTTACATGCCGAACCAAAAATTTTTTTATGCAAAAATAACCCCACGTTTAGGCCTATTATTATGCAATATTTATAATTTTCATCTCAATAGATGGGTCATTGTTTGTGTTTCTGATTTCCATTTTGAAAAAGAAATGGAATGAGTAAAATGAAGGCCAATCGAAGGTCGAATTTTTTTGCGGTTGATTATATGAGACACACTCATTATAATGTAGATCAATAGCCAAAAAAATCTCTGCCGCAAATTCCCAGCCTTCGAATCATAAATCAACCAAAAAACAAATTCATGGAAAATCATAATCCATGTGATAAATATTGAAAGTGGAAAATTGAATAATAAGCATGCAACCTTACTAACCTAAGCCTCTGATTATTTTTTTTGGTAATGTTTCTTTTCTTTCAATGAGTTGTACAAAAGCAAGACACTGAAACCTAAGATACTTGAAAGGATGGGTTAATAATACAGCATTCTACAGTGTGGCTCTCCTCTGTATACAGATTCATGCGTACATTTTTGCCCTTGCTTCAGTGTATGCTTTCGTTTCTAGCTACTCCGGGAAGTTTTCCTTCCAACAATAGTCTTGAGGAGTTCCAGAATCCTGATCAGGTTTCTTGAATATTTGCTTGTTCGAAGTTTTCAAGGATTTCAACACATTTTCTCAACAATGAATTTACCTACTCATTCTTTTCTGCCTCAATCTGATTTAGAAGCTCGCCTTTTATTCCTGTTTCTGTCCAGTGGACTGATGAAATATGTTTGCATAACTTGGGGATTTCCAGAAGGCATTCTGATGCAGCAACATGAACCTAGAATTGGACACAATGTGATGGACAGAAAATTGTGCTAGAAATAAAAACCCTAAAAGATATTCTCCCACAGACTAATCGTTCTTCTGTTGTCCAGTACTCTAATTTTGATGCAGCAAAACTATTCTTCCCCAAATTAAGTTAAAGCAAAAAACCTATGCCAATTATAGAAATTAATTTTTCATATTGACAACATTATTAAAGATTTATGATGCTTTCACATGAAAGTATTTGCACATACATGGATGTAACTCATAGAGATAGAGATTGTACCTAAAATGGACTTTTAAGGAAGTTAATATAACATGGATATATAACCAAAACTTGACGAGAAATTATGTACCTGAGCAAGTTCTATTGTAATTATACACTCGATTATTTTGGATGCCACACAGATGAGCAGCTGGATATAGCAAAAAGAATTAATCAGATTATAAACAGCTACTTCTTGTTGAATACATATCCATTTAGCAGTCCAGTCCAGTTACCTCTTGAACAAAAGAAGTTGCCCTGGCCTGTAGAATGGCTCCATTGGAGCCCTCCAAACGCAGTGGAGCCTCAAGCAGAGTTCTTTGATTGAAGGAAATGTCGACACTTTAACTGTAAATTATAGTTTAGTTGGCAAAGCTGTTAAGTTTACGAAGCTAGAACAGAGGGAAAAATATATACATAGGAATGAAGAATATACCTGTCCATGTTAAACCAGGTGACAAGCAAAGTAACAAGATATGCATCAAGTCCTTTTTCTGCTCAAGAATATCATTGACACGAGTCACATGGATACAATATGTTATGCAATTCATCACCTTGTCAAGTGGAACAGAAACATCTTCGATATCATCAGATCCCGCATACAAGACGGTGTATTAGATTAGTCATTGAAGAAGCGAGGGAAACATGAAAATTAGTGGTTTTCAGTAAGTGTAAAAAATAAATAAAATCAAGAAGCAGCCTAATAAGCTGTAGATGGCTAATTTTGGCCACATTTTTGCTCAAACATAGTTTTTGCTCCAGAAATTAATGCATACAGAAATTCAAACTGTTGGCTTTGAATCAAGCCACCAACCTACAGGCAGAAACCAGAACAGACGAGCAGAAGAGCAAAAAGATAACATAGAGCCATCCATCCATTCAAGAAGTATCCAGAATAAAGTTCAAACATAGAAAATAACTATTCTTCTTGGCCTATGGCCACAAACATAAAATAAAAGCTGTTTTTAGAAGGCTAAGCTAAAGGAAATTTCTCCATTCTTGCCATTCAAGCTGCATGGCGGTGAGTTCCTGGGTAATTCCTTGATTTTTCTTCTCAAGAGCTTCAGCCGCTACCCTTTTTGGCTCCAATTTCTTCAGCTGGCTGTCTAGTCCGTCAAGAAGTTGCTTCCTCCGAATCTTCATGTCTGCCAATGCCTTTTGCTTGCCAGAAATCCTGGTTTTAAGCTTTGACATTTGAGCTTCCAGTTGTGCCAATTCTTCCTCAAGTTTTTGGCTTTCCTGGTGTTGCGTGTTAATTTCTTCCTTTACTTTCTCATATTCTTCCTTCTGTTTGGAGAGAGGTGCAAAGCTGTCCTCGACGTCTTTTTTTGCAGCAGCAGTAGCTTCGGCAGCCTTCTCTTTTTCCGCAAAAGGTTGGGTAAAGTCTTGGAAAATTATTGGAAAATCATGCGAAAACTTACGTTTATTTTCTGGAAGCTCAAGATTTCTGGCTAAGATGCTGGCAGAAAACAAAATTTCTTCAATCTCCACATCTTGGTAGGAAGCTATCGGGTTACCTTCTATCAACCTTCCAAGTACTGAAGTGGCCACTTGTATTTCTTCTTTGGTTGGAGACGAAGCCACTGTTTGTTCTTCAAAGGCATTTTTCCCCTTCTCGACAGAAAAGCTGGAAAACAGGTTCATCCTTCCAAATACATCTCGTTCAAGTTCCTCATCATCAACATCGTCTTCAGTGGACTCAATCACCTGCGAAGAGAATTTTGTTGATTAAAAGGATTGAGATACAACAGCAGGAGCGAAAGAGGAAGATATACCTTGTCAACTGTAGAGGATTTAGCCTGAGCAAATGTGCTTGAATCTTCAGGAGAAGTCTCTCTAAGATCAACCGTTTCATTAGCGCCCACTGTTTTGAAATTATTTTCAGCCAAACGCATTGAAAATCTTCTTCCCTTAACCCTTCGCGAAAAGGGGGCTGCATGTGAAGAAGAGAAATCTGTTCCTTTCTTTTTTCCTTTTTCTTCCCTTAGAAACTCAGGAGAGTCATCAGATCCCTCAGATTCGGAAGTTTCTGCTTTTCTCATGGAGGCCGAGGGACTGGAGATTGATAAACTCTTGGGAGCTTTTGGCTTGGCAGAATTTTGCTTTGTACAAACAAGAAATGCAGCGTTTAAAAAACTCTATAAACAGAAATTTAAATGCAGACAAAGAAGAAAATTACCTTTTGATGTAGCTGTTTCTGTTGAAGCTGCAGGAGAGGTTGTTTTCCTTTTGCCGGTGGTTTTCCTGCTTGCCGGTGTTTTCTTGGCTGCAACTTTTTTTCTTTCAACAGCAGCTGTTTCTACTTCTGTCTCCTCTTCAGATTGTTCATCTTCAGTTCGGAGGAAAGAAGAACGTTCGAGATCCTTTGGAGGTGGAGAAGCCAT